GCTCTGTGCAGGCTCAAGGCTGCTCTTGCCTTTTTCCACCTCCCAGGTCTAAGCAGGATTGTTCACTGAGGCTGAACTCCAGCAAGGGTTTCCGTAAATTCAAGCCCTGCAGGACACAAACGTAAGAGAGAGAATTTTGCGATCTGTTTGGTGCGATGTTAGCAAAAGCTCTCCCTTATTTTCTGAGCGGGCATTTTAAAAGAACTCAGAAATGGAACAGGTTACACAGCTGTGAGCAGGCCCAAATAAGAGGAATCTGTTTGCAATAATAATAAAATAGGGAATTGTTTTCTTCCATGGTGTCTTTTGGTAACGCCATATTGCAGAGAATGCATGGCCTTTAAAAAAAAATAATGTAGTGTGTGGTCGGAAAAGGTCGGAACAGTGAGGGTGTCATCAGTTAATGGGAAAGGATGGGTACTTCAGAACTGGGCGGTTGCCAAGGATCCAAGCTGCATTTCCTTTTATGGTTTTGGCTGGCCCTTGATTGAACGTTCTCTGTAGGTGGGAGTTGGGTAGCCCAGCGGAGGCCACACAAGGGTTTAATTAAAAATAATCCTGAACTTTCCCCCCTTCCCATCTGCAGGTTGCTGATGCAGACCTTGCAGGCCACTTTTAGCCCCCGTCACAAAAATGCATAGCTGGGGGGGAAGAGTGGTCGCTGTTGAGCCTTCCTCAGAGGCCCTGCTCTGAACTTGGAGGGCCGGTGTTCGGCAGGCCTGTGGTGGAAGCTGGAGGTGAAGGAACCATGACACCAAGGGTGAATCTGAGGTTGTTGTAATTGGACTAAAGGATGGGGGAGTCATGATTGAGGAATTACGGGAGTATGCCTGGTGCGGAGAAAGCAAACAAAGGGGTTAGGGTTAGGGTTAGGGTAACCCTAACCCTAACCCTAACCCCCTCCCTCTCCCGTAATATTAGAACTTGTTGGCACTCAGTGGAGTTGATGGGCTGTAGATTCACGAGGGTCGAAAGCAACGGCTTCTTTTTGCGGCACATCATTAATGTATGAAACTCGCTGCTCAAAAAGCGGTATCACTTGACGAAGGATACGTCAGTTGCTGGGAAATAAATTAATGAAATGAGTGTGTGTTTTACACATATATGAGTGTGTCTTTTATACATATATCCCATATCTTTTATGTATTTATTCATTTTAACTTGTGCTTTTTATCCGTATTTACTGTGACTGGTCTTATGACCGTAATCAACTTTTGAAACATTTTTTTTGAAACTCGCTGCCACAAGAAATTTGCAGCAGTCATGGACAGTAGTTAAAAGCGGATTCAGCAGATTCACGGAGAAGGATATGTCCATCGGTGGTCATTAGCCAGGGTGGCTAAATACAACGTCCATTTCAAGAGACAGGTCAGCTCTGACTACCTGCAACAAGGCGGGAATCTGGTCTTTGTGCTTCTGGTGTGGCCCCTCTGTGGCATCTGCCCTTCTGCTGTGGGACAGGGAAGGTTTAATTTAGGTCCATCTAAACCAGCATCCTGTTTCCCGCAGTGGCCATACATAAGAACATCAGAAGAGTCCTGCTGGATCAGACCAATACTACATCTAGTCCATTGTCCTGTCTCACACAGTGGCCAGCCAGTTCCTCTGGAGGGCCAACCACAGGGCATAGCCGAGGTCTTCCCCTGATATATTGCCTCCTGGCTCTGGAATTCACACCTCAGAATGTGGAGGTTCCCCTCAGTCACCATGGCTAGCAGCCATTGATAGACTTATCTCCCATGAATCTATTGAATCCTCTTTTAAAGCTGTTTATGAGAATTGTCTGTGGGAATTATATGAGTGGCACATGAAGGCAACTCTGCTGTTGGCCTTCCAGTGTCTGGTATTGAGAGGCACACTGTCCCTGAAGATGGAGGTTCTGTTTAGCTACCATGGCCAGTCGTTCTTCACAGACATATCCTCCTCGAACATATTAGATTCCCCTGATGGCACAGGATAGCCCGATCTCACTGGATCTCAGAATCCAAGCAGTGTTGGCCCTGGATGGGAGGACAGCTAGGAAGTCCAAGGTCGTGATGCAGAGCCAGACAGTGGCAAACCCCCTCTGAATGTCTCTTGCCTTGAATACCCGATTGAGGTCGTCATAACTTGGCTATGACTTGACTGCCCTTTCAATCACCATCATCATTTTAAACTGTCTAACCCAGGGGTGTCGAACTCATTTGTTATGAGGGCCAGATCTGACATAAATGAGACCTTGTTGGGCCGGGCCATGTGTGTCGTAAAAGGTAATGCCAGGGAGCGGAGATATAAGCTTCATAAAGGACACCAACACAAAGGGTTATTTTTACTTCAAATAAAAACACGCTTAAGACATTAGCACTCTTGCAATATTTTGTTGATTTAACAGCGTCTGATAACTGACACCTCTTGCTCTGAATCACTGCCTCAAAATGTCTGTGCTGTTGGAATCTTGAGTATGCTGTTCAGGTGTGTATCTGTAAGCTGCAAATCTACGATGACGCAGCAGCAGAACTGGAAGAAGTAGCAGAAGACAGCCAGTTCCACTGTGGGCCTGATAGAAGCCCTCTGGGGGCCTGATTTGGCCCCCGGCCCACATGTTTGACATCCGTGGTCTAACCCAGCAGCTTTGACTACACCTGGTGGTAACTAACAGAAGATCCCACACTTTGGATCGGGCAGGGGCACAAAGCGAGACCTCAAATGGTTCGATCAGACCTGGACAATCTGGAGGCACCATGCTGGACCGCAGACCCTGATGTTGCAAATTTCCCTTTCTTTCTATGTCTGCCCGTGGCACGTGCAGTCCCTACCTTCCTAATTTTAGCCCCAGAACAATCCTGCGAAGTAGTCCAACTCTCTGACCGCTACACCATCACAGTGGCTGTCAACTTTGGAGTGTGTGCATGCAGGGGTCATTTCGTAGAAAAAGAGGTGCAGGAGCGCATTAGCAGAACTCAGCATAATTTATTTGCATATGCCACACCCCCTGACATCACCGGAAGTGTGTCAGAAGGCAACCCCCACCACTCAGGCTCCAGTGGAATGTTTTGGATTGCTAGCTGGGGGGGGGGACGTGCAGATCTGCCCTCACAGAGGAGGGAGAGCTTGTACCTGAATAAAACTTGGTCTTAAAGGTTCCACTGGACTGTTTTGGATTGCAAGCTATGGGGTGTGTGTGTGCAAATCTGCCCTCACAGAGGAGGGAGAGCTTGTACCTGAAGGCGGGCCAGGGGGGGGCGGCTCTGCAACTTACCTGGCTGCTTCTTGCTCCTCGTGGCCCGACTGAGGGCTGCTGGGAGCAGGGGGTGGGGCTTGTTGCATGTGCCTGCCCCCTGGGCTCTTTACTGCCGGAGCTCTGCTCCTGTGCACTCCCGCAGGAAATGATCTCTGTGTGCATGTATCTCTATGTGTGTGTGTTACTTAAATGTCCCTGGGCACCTCATGGCCAAACGTTGTGTGTTCGGGCTCTCTATATAAACGAGATTGCATCAGTATATTAAAATTGCACACTGTAAATGTCTAATCAGTTTTTACAGGCAGTGGCACCATTTCCAAGCCAACAAATTGCCTGTAGCTGTAATTTATTTCAGGCCATCTGCATCCTGCGCCCCCCCCCCTCAAAGCTGGGTTTGTGACTTCGGGCCAAACCAGACATGACATTTAGAGGCCCATGAGTGGATCTCCTTAATGTTGGGTCCCCAGCATTTTTGAGCCTACGGGCACTTGTGGGATTGTTGGAGTGGGTTGTGAGCGCCACCCCAAAATGGCCACCACAAGAACAAAATGGCTTCTACAGGAGGTGGAGCTAAACTGCCCATCTCTCCTTGCGAGTAACACTTTGTGTGTTTTCCTTTTTCCTAACAGCACTTCCACGATGGCCGAAAAGCACAACAGCATATCGAGACGTGCTGGAAACAGCTTGAATCAGTAAGTGGGAAGGGACAAAGGAAGCCCAGTGCTGAAGTCTCCATCCTCAGAGGGGACTTATAAGGGGGCAGATCAAGGACAAGCAAGCAGCCACTGCCATACACAGCTGTCATAATGTTTGATTTGCGCCACGGTCCTCTGTGATGCACTTACAGGGAGGGTCTGCGACACGGTCCCGCTGAGCTCCCCAGCCTCCACAGACCCCTCTGCCGGCGTTTCCTGTTGTACCCAAGCAGAACGTCCGGGCATCTTCCCTCTGATAAGTGCAACATCTTCACTTAGGCTGGAGGAAGACTTCTTGGAGGAGGGTTGGATCCAACCCAGTGAGTTTAGATTGGTACGGCTCTTTTTGTAGCAGGAACTCCTTTGCATATTAGGCGACACACCCCTAATGTAGCCAATCCTCCAAGAGCTTACAGTAGCCCCTGTAAGAAGAGCTCTGTAAGCTCTTGGAGGATTGGCTACATTAGGGGTGTGTCACCTAATATGCAAAGGAGTTCCTGCTACAAAGAGAGCCCTCTATTTAAGATTTGGAAGTGACTCTGAAGGGCTGCGGTTTGCCACACTGGGGCAAACATACCAGTAACTGTGATGGGAGTTGCCTGTCTGTCTAACTGCAGCTCGGTAGGGTTATTTTGGTTTGGGAAAACATTGTGGAAGTGAAAGGTTTATCTCCAGTCCAAATTGGGGTCCCTCACACCAGTTGTTCAGTAGAGAAGGAAAAAGGTATTGGGATCTCCACACAGAGAACTCCTGCCGCCTCCTCCACTTTGGCCTTTGGTCACTAGCTTGCCCAATTCTCATCTGCTTCCGTTCAGGTCCCTCAATCTGCTGGAAATCTACTCCCCAAAGAATGTGTCGTCAACTGTTATCTGTTTGTCTCTTCCAGCGCCAAAGACCCCTGGAAGTTGTTTGGTTGGGGAATGTTTGTGGGGCATTATTTAATTCGTTGCAGAACATAATCCTTTCCTTTTACCTTGTCAGAGCAAAAGACGTTTTGAACGGGATTGCAAGGAAGCCGACCGAGCGCAGCAGTATTTTGAAAAGATGGATGCAGACATCAATGTAACAAAAGCGGACGTCGAAAAGGTAAAAAAGAGGAACAGGGTGATGGAGAAGATGTTAATTGTTTCTCTTTCTAGCCATAATGATTCATCAATTGATGTTGGGATTTCGTGGACTCAATTGCTGGTGGTCACTGTCTTTGTTTATCTGCATAGGTGTGTTGTTCTAACTGTGAACACCTGTGGTCCCCTATATACCAAGAGCAATCTTTATTCTTTGTTATCCATCCCTAGTGAAATCAAACTAGGGTCTCATGATGCCTTAAAGCACGGGTCTTCAGCCTTTTTTAGCCTGTGGGCACCTTTGGACTTCTGACACAGGGTGGTGGGCACAACCACAAAATGTCCGCCATAGGAAGTAGAGCCACGCACGTGGAGGAAGCCCTAGACGAGAGGAGTAATCTTTTAAAAATTCACTGGGAAAGAGAAGTGAGAGAGAGAGAAGCAATACTCTGGGGGTAACTGCCGCCAAAACTATAGGGGCTCTTTTTGTAGCAGGAACTCCTTTGCATATGAGGCCACACACCCCTAATGTAGCCAATCCTCCGAGAGCTTACAGAGCTCTTCTTACGGGGGGGGGCTACTGTAAGCTCTTGGAGGACTGGCTACATTAGGGGTGTGTCGCCTAATATGCAAAGGAGTTCCTGCTACAAAAAGAGCTAATCAGATCTCCAATGGCCAATCAGAAGCCCTGCTGAGCAGGAGCTCCACCTATCCCTGCCCACGTTCTAAAAACACTGGGGGGGGGGGCAGAAAAGGTGTCAGTGGTTGCCGTGGTGCCCTTGGGAACCACACTGGGGACTCCTGCCTTAAAGACGTATGGATCTATTGCATCATAAGTTTCCACGGATTAGAGTCCACTGCAAGAAGTGTGTCTTTGGCATATAGGCACACGAGCATGATTTTTTTTGGGGGGGGGATGAGAAGAGGAGGATGAAAAGGCTGTGAAACGCAGGGGGTCCAGTCTGTAACTTTTTCACACAGAGCTCTAATGCAGGGCTTTTTTTTCCTGGGGGAACGCACCGTAATGGAGTTCCGGAATCTCTCCGACAAAATCCTTTTTAAAAATGTTTAAAAGTTCGTGATTTTTCACTATGCAGACTGAAAACTTCATTTCCCTCTTGAGAGTTCCGGCACCTTTTTTTTTAAAGCCCTGCTCTAATGTAGACTGAATACACACAGTGACCCTACAAAAGCAGTCACAGGTGATCCATCAGTATTGCTCTTTGATTCTAGTCTGCAAAAGGAAATGCTACAGTATTTGATGAAGGGAACATTGACTGTCGAAAGCTTTTGCCCGCAAGATTTTGCTGGTCTCTAAGGTTTGACTGGCTTCGAAACTGGAGACCAGCACATCTACGCTCTGAAACTATCACAATAAATCTGTTAGTCTTTAAATCCCTAGTTTGTGTTTGTTGTATCAGACTGACACTGTTCCCCCTCTGGAATCTGGCCCTATGGGGGGGGGGGGCGGTTAGAGACCTTCTTAAAAATCATTGTTAGGGATGCTCAGGGGCAATAGCTTTTCCTTCCGTCTCCCCTATCCAAGTCACAGATGTTGCTGAACTTGTTGAAACGGGACAAGCTGCTTTATGATAAGTGCCGGAGGGTCAGTCAGCACAGTGGTGCTTTCCCCTCCCCCCCTTACATCTGTGTATTTGATTATCTGTGTTTTAAGATTTAGCCAATCTGGTTGAGCTGAGAGAGCTCTGACAGAAACTGCTCTTTTTCAAGAACAGCTCTTATCAGAACTATGGCTTGCCCAAGGTCATTTATTTATTTATTTATTTTTACACTTATATCCCACCCTCCCCAGTGGGCTCAGGGCGGCTAACAGAGGCCAGATCATTAGTCTAGCCATAAATAAAAACACATAAAAACATAATAAAAAGATCAAAACTAAGACTAAAGTGCTCTATCCAGTTACTAGTGTCCTAGATCCAAGATGGTATCCCCACGACTCGAGCTAGTATTCTCAGCGTACGTATCCAGTGGCGACGGCCTATCCGATCTTCCACAAAACAGTTGCTGCAGGAGGTTGAGCCATCCACAGAATGGCTGCCACAGCTCACCTTCAGTCACACAGTGACGCTCCTTGTGCTGTGGTGGCAGCGGCTGCTTCCAGTGTAGCAGTTTTAAAAAATCTGCACAGCCTATTCTTGCTGAGCGAAAGCCCCATCTGGTCCTGCCTACTCTGTGATAACACTTGTCAGGCTACGGGAATGGTGTCAGTGGGTTCTGTAGTGCCCACGGGCACCGTGTTAGGGACCCTGTCCTACACTATAATCACTGCGCCATGCTCGGCTCTTCTTTCTACCTCCCTTATGAAGGTGGAGGGGTGTGTGTGTGCCTGCAGATCACTCCTGGGCCTGAGCGCACACAGAACAATACGGTCTGCCCAAGCGCTTCTTGTGCAGTGAGGTTGACCGTAATCTGAGAAGGTGATTCTTCAGCATCTCTCTGTCTGGGGCTCTGACAGCTCTTTCCACCTCTGATGGCGGTGATGGCGGGAGATTCTGCTGTTGTTCCAACACAGGCGGCTAAAAATAGTCCGGGTTGTCCCATTGACCTTTGGCATGTTCGCCTCCTTCTTCCTCAGGCAGAACCACCAGCCGGCAGATGCCGACTTTATTTTAAAGAGGCAGAACCCAGAAGGGGAGCGGTGCAGTGCCAGAAAGGGCTAAGTCTCCCAGTGGCAGTTGGAGGAGTAAGCCCCACCGTGGGGCATCAACTCTTGTGGAGCAGATATCACCCGTGAAAATGTTCCCTCAGCCAGCCTTCTGAGGCAGGGGTCCCAATCCCAAACCTTTTTGAGCCTGTGGGCACCTTTAAAATCTCACACAAGGTGGTGGGCACAATTACAAAATGGCCGCTGCAGCAGGCAGGGCTCCACAGACAGAGGAAGCCCGAGTGCCGGGGAGAAGAGAGAGAACCGGGAAAGGGGGTGGTGGTAGAGAATAAAATCAACCTGCTGGGGGTGGTGGTATCTCCCACTGAAACGGCATTCTTTTAATCTACACAGCCAGTCAGATCTCCAGGGGTCAACCGGGAGCCCTGCTGGGTGGGAGCCAGTGCTCCCTCTAAGCTTGTGAGTCTTGTGAGCAAATATTCTACTTTGTGAGCTGCTGGCATTAGAGTTGTGAGCGAGCAATTTGGCTGCTGCATAAGTTAGTTTGCTCAGGAGCCATCCTTCCTGAGCTGAGACAGAGATGTGTGAGCTGGAGGCTAAACAACTGTGAGCTGGCACACACTAACTCAGCTTAGAGGAAACACTGGAGCCCCACATGACTTTCTAAAAAGACTTCGTGGGCCCCAGGAAAGGTGTTGGGGGGCACCAAGTTGGGGACCTCCCGTTTTCGAGTGTTACAGGATTCATTGTCAGTTGAGTTTGCAGAGGTGGAGAAAGATGGCACCAACCAGCCTGGAAAATTAGGTCCCAAAGTGATGGGGGGCTGCCACTGGATCTCCCCAACAGGGCCACAATGCAAAGGTGGGGGGAAATAACTCACTCCCACCAACGGGGGTTTTACTGGTAGAAACTGTGCTTTTATTAGCCTAGGAAGGGAACAAAGGAGGGCATTCTCTTAACTCCCTTCCAAAGCTAATCAAAACGCAGGAGAACTTTGGCAAGATTCTGTGTGAGGGGGTGGGGGAGGGGTTAGACCTCAGCACTTCCCATGGGTGACAGGAGCTCAGAATCTCAGGGGTTTGGGCCACAGGACAAGAAGTAGCAGGGGGAAAGGAGGACTTATCAAAAAGAGCAGAACATTGATAAGGAGGTAGCAAACATCCTCTTTACACTCTTTTAGAGAGCCAGTGTGGAGTGGTGGTTAGAGTGTTGGACGAAGATCTGGGAGACCCAGGTTTGAATCCCCACTGATGCCGTGGAAGCTTGCTGGGTGCCCTTGGGCCAGTCACACACTCTCAGCCTAACCTACCTCACAGGGTTGTTGGCATCAATTCCCCCCCCCACCCCCGCAAGCAGAATTGACGCCACTTTGCAGGGCAGTTCAGCCTGCTTTTTGTGACTGCTCCCCTCCTCCTCAACAGGTATATTTTGTAAATAAAGAAGAGTTTTGAAAATTGTTCACAAGGGAACAGATCCTGGAAGAGACTTCCCCTTGAAACTGTCTACTGCTTGGGGAAGTGGGAAAATACTCAGCATTTCTGTAGATGTTTACACACACACACATATGCAGGAAACCTCTTCATATTCACCATTCGTGTAACATCCCTACAAGATGGATCAGCATCAGCCCAGTGTGGCTTGCCAGGGTGAAAATCCGGAGCAAACGGGGCATTGCCTCCAAAAATGGGAGCTCCCCATCTGGATCTGTCAGATTCGTATCTCCCCATTCCTCCAAGGAGCGCAGGGCCAAACGAAATGTGACAGTGTCCACAAGTCCGTCCCGTGGATGCTGCCACCATTAAAAAAAACAAACCCTGTGATGCCCCGATCCTGATTGGGTCAGCAGCACAGCAGGCTGAGGGGCTCTTGTTCCCCACCCCTGGGCCTTTCCAAGTGCTGAGGCGTCCATGGAGGGGTGTTTGGGCCTCAGTGTTCGGCGTAGGTCGCATACCTGCCCTGCATGGCCCAGGCGAGCCTGATTTCATCAGAGCTCAGAAGCTAAGCAGGGTCGCCCCTGGTTAGTTTCGGATGGCAGACCACCGAGGCAGTCACAGGTTGCTATGCAGAGGCAGGCAATAGCAAACCATCCCTGAACATCTCTGGCCTTGAAAGTCCCACGAGGGGCTGCCCTTGACGGCCCTCCCCACCACCAGCACGGGTGCATTGCCACCCCCAGTTTTTACCTTCGCAACAGTCTTCTGAGGAGGTTAGTCAGAGAAAGATATCCCTGAGTTTTCCCAGCAGTCCAAATGACATCCTCCCAGACTGTTTGAAACCAGGAAAACGGCACAGGTGAGGGAAGGCTGGAGCCCCATCTCTGTGCGCGTCAAAGGCCTGATTTAGATCAGGCACCGTGCGCCTGAGCACTGAGGAGAAACCCCCACTTGCCTCTCACT